CCGAACCGGAACCGGAACAAGCCGAACCACCCCTCTGCCGTATCCGTGCCAACCGAACCACCCGCAGGAAATGGCTACGAGCAGGGCTGATCGAGGAAACTGGTGACGAGCTCTGGTGTGCTGCTGGCTTCACTTATTCCCAGCAGATCGCCGAAGAATCTCAGAAGGCCAAACCCCCGAAGACCTTTGAAGAGATGGTTCCCCCACAATATCGCCGACATGCCTCCGTCTTCTCCGAGTCCGAGTCGCACCGCCTACCCGAACACAAACCCTGGGATCACGCCATCGATCTGATTCCTGGAGCTCCGGCCACCATGCGCACCAAGGTCTACCCCATGTCCCAGAACGAACAGGAAGAGCTGAACCGATTCCTCGACGAGAACCTCAAGAAGGGATACATCCGACCATCCAAGTCTCCCCTCTCTTCCCCGGTCTTCTTCGTCAAGAAGAAGGATGGCAAGCTCCGCTTCGTTCAGGACTACCGCAAGCTCAACGAGATCACCGTCAAGAACCGCTACCCCCTTCCCCTGGTCTCCGACATCGTCAACAGACTCCGTGGTGCCAAGTACTTCACGAAATTCGACGTTCGCTGGGGTTACAACAATATCCGGATCAAGGAAGGAGACGAGTGGAAGGCCGCGTTCGCCACCAACCAGGGTCTCTTCGAACCACTCGTTATGTTCTTCGGCCTCACCAACTCTCCGGCGACATTCCAGGCTCTCATGAACTCTATCTTCTCCGACCTCATCGCTGGAGGGAAGGTTGCAGTGTATCTCGATGACATCCTCATCTTTACGGCCACACTCGACGAGCACCAGCAAGTTGTACACGAAGTCCTGCATCGCCTCAAGAAGCACGATCTGTATCTCCGGCCAGAGAAGTGCGAGTTCGAACGTCAGGAGATCGAATACCTCGGGCTGATCATCCGCGAGGGCGAAGTCAGCATGGACCCCGCCAAGGTCGAAGCTGTCCGCAACTGGCCAGTCCCCCGTAACCTCCGCGCCGTTCGTGGTTTCCTCGGGTTCGCCAACTTCTACCGCCGTTTCATCAAGGACTTCGCCACCATCGCCCGACCGCTCAACGACCTCACCAAGAAGAACATCCCCTGGCAATGGAACGATCCTCAACAGCAGGCCTTTGACACCCTCCGCAATGCCTTCACGTCCGCCCCCATTCTGACGCTCTGGGATCCTGACCGCCCCACTCGCATTGAAGTCGACGCCTCCGGCTTTGCCACTGTGAGGAGCCCTTCTCCAGAAGCAGGATGACGGCCTCTGGCACCCCGTTGCATTCCGATCCGCCTCCATGCAGCCCGCCGAACGGAACTACGAGATCTACGACCGGGAGATGCTGGCCATTATCGAGGCTCTCAAGGACTGGCGCCACTTCCTGGAAGGACTCCCTGAACCCTTCGAGATCGTCACCAACCATTCCAACCTCGAATACTGGCGCACCGCACAAGACCTCAGCCGTCGACAGGCTCGTTGGGCTCTCTACCTCTCCCGCTTCCGGTTCTCGCTCACCCACCGCCCTGGCAAGACAAACACCCAAGCCGACGCCCTCTCTCGCCTCGACGTCCACCAGGTCTCCGATGCCCGAGGACAACAACACAACAGGTGGTACTCAAACCCGAGCTGTTTGCCAAGCTCGCCGCCTCGAGCATGGTCGCCAATCCCTTGGAGGACCGTATCCGACAGGCCAGCGCCCGAGAATCCCAGGTCCTGGATGGACTCGCCCAGCTCCGCAAGACAGGTCCCCGTCGTCTCACCTCTGGTCTCGCCGAATGGGAGGAGGATAACGCGCCTTGTTTACTACAAGGGTCGAGTCTATGTTCCCCCAGACGACGAACTCCGACGCGACGTTCTCAAACAGTGCCACGACGATCCTACCTCTGGACATCCCGGCGTACATGGAACCCTCATGAACGAGTTGAACGACAATACTGGTGGCCCGACCGTGCGAGCCTTTGTCAAGAAGTACGTGGAAGGTTGCGACATCTGTGCCCGGAAGAAACACGCCCAACACCCCCGCGCCTCGACTCAGCCCTTGGAGGTACCCGATGGCCCTTGGGAGACCGTTGGAGTCGACCTTATCACCCAGCTTCCTGATGCCAATGGACATGATGCCATCATCGTCTTCGTCGACCACTACAGCAAGCTTCTCCATGCCCTCCCCTGCACCTCGGACATCACCACCGAAGGAGTCGCCGACATCTACTACCGAGAAGTCTTCCGCCTCCACGGCCTTCCACTCCGGTTCATCAGCGACCGCGGCCCCCAGTTCGCCTCCAAAGTCATGCGCACCCTTCTCAGACGTCTCGGCATCGAATCCAACCTGACCACCGCCTATCATCCTCAGGCTAACGGACAAACAGAACGGGCCAACCAAGAAGTCGAGAAGTACCTCCGCCTGTACGTCAGTCGCCGACAAGATGACTGGGATAAGCACCTTCCCATGGCCGAATTTGTGATCAACTCCCGAGTCCACTCCGCGCACAACCGATCCCCCTTCGAAGTCCTCTACGGTTACATCCCTCACTTCAACATTCCCGTCGGTAAACGCACTGATCTTCGCCCTGTCGACGAGCGCATCCAACAACTGCAAGAGGTACGCAAGGACGCCGAAGCCGCCTTACGTCTCGAGAAAGCACAACAGAAGGACTGGTACGAATCCGGCAAACGAACAGCCCATCAGTTCAAGGTTGGTGACCACGTTTGGCTCAACGCTAAGGACATCCAGATCAAAGTCCCTACTCGGAAGCTTGGCGACCTCCAACTCGGCCCCTACAAGATCACCGAACGCATCGGCGACCTCGATTACCGCCTTGAGCTCCCCCCTTCCCTCTCCCGCATTCACCCAGTGTTCCACGTCGACAAGCTCTCCCCCTGGAAAGGCAATGATGTCAACGGCATTCTGCCACCTCCGCCTGAGCCTGTTGAACTGGAGGGAGAGCTTGAGTACGAGGTTCACGACATCTTGGACAGCCGCTGGAAGGGCCGAGGGAAGAACCGTAAGCTGGAATACCTGGTCAGTTGGAAGGGCTACGGGTCGACGGAGGATACTTGGGAACCGGAGGAGAACTTGGAACACGCCCCCGATGTCATCAAAGACTTCCACCAGCGTCACCCTTCTGCACCACGTCGCATTGCAGCCACTGTCTTCGCCTCCCTCCCCTGCGCAACCCCTTGAGAACATTCACCGACACACCGCCTACCGACTTCGACTGGGAGCTGGGACGCCGCCTACCAGGGATCATTGAGGACGATGAGGCTTAGAAGGGGGGTAATGTCGTGAACAGCGGGTACGAGCCCCTATTTTTCCCTATCTTATCTTATCGCTTTCATCGCCCTTATCACTTCCTCTTTATTCTTATTCTTGCCTTTATTCTCGACACGGACACTTTCTCCCATGGAACACTGCCTCGTTATGCCCTTTGCCCTACATCTTATTGTTCTCTTCATTCTTGCACTGCCTCGTTACTCCGCCACTGTCTTCTTCATTCTTCGCGCAGCCTTCGCGCAGCCTCATGACTTCTTATTGTTCTTTTGCATTTCACCATTTGCTCGTCATCCTGACTCATTGCGGCTATGTAGACTGTAGAATAGGTATATAAGCTAGGTAGATTCCTCTGTATTTCCTCAGCTTGACCTCTTCGTCAATACACCGCTTCAGCATTCATCAGCATTCGTCGCTCATCGCTCTTATCTTGCTCGCCGTTCTTATCTGCTCCGCATCACTGGTCTTTGGTTTGGTTTAGTGTTCGCTCTTCGCGACAGTCCCCGAAGGAAGCCCGGAAATTAGTCAAGACCGTCAGCCGGCACTCCGATTCGAAGCTCACTCACGAGCAACTTCTCGCGGAAGCCCGTCAACTTCGTCAAGACAACCACCTCCTCGTCAAAACCGTTGAACACCTTACCGCACAATTATCGAGTGCCAACGCTCACTGCACGGTTCTGAAGAGGCAAAACGACCAAACGACCGAACGACTTGCGAATGCGACACGTACGGTGAAGAGAGCGAGGCAAGTCAAGTCGAATGCTCGCATTGTTACTCATCCCGGATACAAGCAGATGTTTGAGGCGGAGGATGCTCTTCACGCAGAGAAAGAGGAGGCGGAGAGGCTTAAGCAGCTTCAGAAGGAAGCTGAGGCCGAGGCTCGGGAGCAGCGCATTCGACAACGCGCTGCAAATGAGGTGTTTTCGAAGTCGCTCGGCCATTATCGCGCCGGTCCTAAGGACGGTTTAATCGTCCTTGCGCGTGCGCTGAATATCAGCGATGCTGGTATCAAAGACGAGCTATACACAAGGATCAAGGCTCACCTTGACTCTAATCCGCCCGACGTCCGCAACAACTCACGCTTCGACGGTCTTTACGGTATTCGACGTCAACCAGCCGCCACTCAACAGCCAGTCTCGGAAACTCCAGCACCACCTTCACACCCAGCCCCCACTGCCCCCGAAAATCCGCCTCCGACTCTTTATTACATGCCGCATCCCCTCGCTTATGATCACTATCCATTTCCCCATCCTCTGACGCACGCCGGCCCCTCGCATTTCCCCTCGTACCCTCCAATTCCGAATGCTCCTGTTCCACCTGGACAGCCTTATTATGTCTATCCGCCTTACTCTCACCCCGAGAACTTCAACCATCAGTAGAAAAGGTTCTGTAATTGTAGTAAATGTTCTATATAAATATGTAAAGTGTCTTTCTACGTTATATCAAAGTTGCGACGAGAACGAAGAGAGATTGCGTTAATTGAGGAGGTATAGGGGCGCGCCTCGGGACATCGTCGGCATGTTTGATCGAATTGATGGGTTTGATGAAATTTGGGATTCCGAAGGGGCCGTGGGTAAGAAATTCAATTCAGTGGTGGATTCGATGTACTGGTGAGCCATACTAGTGTGTGCTTTGGGTCAGCTAGGGTGCGGGGTTCCCGCGGTCTTTCCCCCATCTTACTTATACATACAGTAAGGCATCCATCCTCCTCCCAAAAGCGAGAATTAGCAATCGTAATTATTATCTAGGGTATACCCAAACCACCGGCACCATTTGACAGACCAGAAGAATCCTGTATACTAGGTTTTCCCAACAACCCACCCAATCAACCCGACCAACCCAAGCGTCACACCCCACGTCCTCACCTCCTTAGGTAGCCACTGTCTCATCTTGTCCTTCTCCCCAGTCTGCCTGGTCGTATTATCGTCAACTCTAACCTTCGCTGTTTCTGTCTCCCTCGCCTTCACCTCCGCCCGCCCAACACTCTCATCGGCTTCAACGCTACTCATCTCAATCCCTTCTCCACGGGTAGTACTGTGCTCCTGGGAAGAATCGGTAATGGGAGGGACAGTAAAGTGTGCCGCAGTGTCGTCTTTATCATCCACCACCTCAACCTGCGCCACACCGCCGAAGAAGTCGGTGATGAGTGTTTGGTCGAGTGGTCGTCTGAAGAGATCGCTCCGGACGCCTGGTTGGGATTTGATTTTCTTTGGGTCGAAGGAGTCAAACTGCGACACGAGGAGGAGGAGTTAGTGAAGTTCCTAGTGGACGAATAATTTCGGGTGAAAGAAGATGGCGCTTGCCCGAAGAGGGAGGGAAATTCAGGTTAAGGAGAGGAACCGGTGACTTACGAGTTCCTGCATACTAGCCCGACTGGTCTTGTTGATTCCTTCCATGTACTGTAGGATAAAGTGCGTGAAGCCGTCGATGATAGCTACGCCGATCTCTTCGTCGTTCGAGTGCTGGTAGGGTACAAAGATTGTGAGCACAGGGTTATTGTCCAAAGCAAGATACCAACGAGCCGTGCAGACGAGGGGGGAACCGTCGAATGGCTCGGGTAGGTACTCACGGAATAAGAATTCTGGCCCATCTGTGCTGACCCGACAGCGAGGATATTGGGAGAGTAGAATTTGGAGTGCAGTGTAACAGCCTGGCAAGTATCTGACATGAAGAAGATTTCATTGTACCTGGCCGTCCAAACGGTGGGTCAGTCATAAGTTCTGTGTAGACGACAGGACCGAACGCACCTCTTCTTTTGATACATCTGCTCAAACGCATCCGCCAAATCATGCGCGCTGATCTCCTCGTTGTCCTGGAACTTGAGGAACTCGTTGCCTCCGTGTCCGGTCATATACACGAAGATGTTGGAGTGTTCGTCCGTCAAGAGGCGTTTGGAGCGGGGAACGGAGGGGTCCATTCGGCCTGAACACGCAGAGTGTATAGTTAGTTTCCTTTGCTTCAGAAACCGCAAAAGACGACGCACCTGTAAGCACGCGAATGAAGTTCTCAACCGTCACCTCATACCCTCGATAGTCGACCTCGATGTTCTCCCCATACAAGTCCAAGTCTTTCCGCGAGTTGGCGAATACACTACCAGGGAACCTGTTTCGTGCGTTACACGAAGCGTCGTCTGCCAGCATTAGGATGATATTCGAGTCTGGGATTCCGAGTCTCTTCACGGTGCGGTACCTAGAGTCGGTTAGCCAGCGGGTACGTCGCGGCGAGAGAGAGACAGACGTACATCCCCAGCGCATTGGACATATGCTACAATCCCGATTCCACTCAGTTCACTGCCAAAACCACTAGAACTAGTACACTCACTCGATAATTAAACCAATACCTGGATGTACAGACCAATACCGCCCAGTTATTGGTGTGTTTACTTGTACTTCCGCCATTCTTATTGAAGAACCGTTTCACGGCTTCTTGCTGTGTATCACCCTTGGCCAGCGCATGGGCGAGAAGGGATAAAGAGAGCAAGAAGGGGAAAAGATGGTGGAGGACCGGGAAGAGGAGCATTGCTGCCACCGTTCATCGGAGTTTCAACGTATCTTGTCCTCGTACCGCCACCATATCCCACCATGCGAGGTATCTTTCCCTTACCTTCCTCAACAACACCAAAACTAACCTGGTATTAGGTTTGCTAGCATACGCAGACGACGACTCTGACTCGGAATCAACAATCCAAGTCCCCCAGAACTCGAGAAAACATCATGTGAGGAGTCCTTTACCGCCCTTGGCTGAATATCCGTTTCCCTGTTTTCTGCTGGGTGTTTTCTTTTGGGTAGGATATCGAGAACGGGTCGTCGGTAGCGGGGACGACGTCCAAGGAGAAGGAGCACAGTAACAATCATCATAAATCCAAAGCCGGGTCATCCAAACTGTTTGCTTCCGGTATGTCTCAAGCATCTACCTTGGGTTTCATAGGCTAATTAAGTATCAACTGTGTAGATGGACGGGCAGCACAGGTAGTCATTCGTCGACCACCGACGTTGCGGGAAAGACCTCGCGCACACATCTCAGCGGACGACTCGACCAACTCTCCCCGTGGACAGTCTTCGTCCATCCGGTCTTCCTCCCAACCCCACGACTCGGGTTCTCCAAGTCATCTATCCACGAGTAACGAAGGAACGCCCGCACCTCACGGAGGCGAGATAGACACTGAGCAACAGCAACTAGCTCGAATGCGTGCTCTTCTTCGTCCACCACCCATACCAGGGCTGGAAGACTGGGGTATCCCCCCTCCATCCACTGACCCCGTCGACCCCCAAATTGCCGCCAAACTCGCAAACTTCCACGCCCTCAAACACCCGCCGCCGGGTTCCTCCAACCAGCCGAAACACTTTAACGACTCCCTAATGTCCAACCGCTCCTTCCGCAACCCGCATCTCTACTCCACCCTCCTAGACTGGACTGGTATGTCCGAAGAAGACGAAAAGACCACCAATTTCCCTAAAGAAATATGGGATCTGGACGAGATCAAGAACAAGAAGGAGTGGTACGCTGACAATGTCGGTGCGTGGTTACGAAATGGTTTGAATACTGGAACGAGTTAGTGATTCTTTTCTTTTTTGGTGTTTTATCCGACCTGGCTTGGGGATTGGGTGGTTGGGTGTTGTCTTATTGGGAATTCGGGAATTTGTGTCTATGCCTCGCTTCGTCGCGTTTGTCTTTGGACTGTGGATTCTATCAATCAACGGGGTATTCATATTCATGGGGCTGCTGTTTCTTTTTTGTTCTTCCATGCGCCTACTCGCCATATGAATACCCTCGACAACCAAACCTCCTTATCAACACGACCCCGCCCTTCCAACTCGACACGAAACAAACGCACCACCGACTACCCCCCAACGCTGCAAATTCCGCCTCGAACCGACTTACAGCCCAAGCCCAAAAACTCCGCGCGGAAAAACAGGCAGCAGCCCAATCCTCTGGAAAACGCAGCGCAATTGACTTCACCTCCTCCTCATCTACTGCCGCCGCCTCATCCTCTTCACGACACCCGCTCCCTTCCCACCCCTCCAACTTCACCTCCCATTCAACAACTTCTTCCTCACGACACGCATCCCGACGCGACCGTGATCGTCCATCCTCAAGTAGTAACCCGTACCTCTCGCATTCGAGTAGTAGTAGCAATCCCTATTTGGCCCATTCTGCGGGGAAGAAAGGGAGGTATCAGCCGTATGGAAGTGGGGGTGGGGAGAGGGAGAGGGGGAAGACGCGGTGGGGGTAGTGCTTAAGTAGGTCATGCGGTGGTGGTTCGATGTGTGGTGAGAGGGTGTTTACTTGTGATATAGTGATAGACAGTTGTCGACACATTGGTATATTCTTTAGGGCGATGCTTATACATGGAGCACATAAGTTCGTTCTCTAGGGCCGTTCGAAAGCTGCACCGGCGAGGTTCGAACCTAGCTCGATTCGAACGTGGTGATGACATCAATTCAGCCATCAATCCATCACTACGGCGAGGATTTCGTTTCTGTCGATCCCCTTGCTTTCCTTACGCTCAAATTACAATGCTACTTATCCGTTACGCGAACATTGTTGTTCTTCAGCCCGCCATGTCATGACTTACGTTCTTCAATCTTGTGGCTTCATCGATACTACAATACTCCCTTCCAACGGTCGCTACTGGCGCAAAACATTAGCGACATACAACCTGTCAGAGTGAAGGAAACCTAGGCGTGTCTTGTGCTCTTTTAAGGGGCCCGTCGTTGCGTTGGGACGGTTACAGATCTATATAAAAACGTGTGCATGTCTATATAACCTCGCAGCCAGGAGGGGGCTCTTGATACCCTTGCCCATCTTGACATACCAGGGGCTCCTGGGCCTCGGAGAGGGAGGCTAACCCTTCTACTCTTATCCTCGTCGAAGTCGTAGCTCAAGGTAGGTCTTCACCATCCATCCTCTCTTTACTCAACGCTGACCCAGCCTTCTTGAACGTACTGCCATAGACCACTCGGTTCTCGGTACAGAGGCAGACCGACGTCCAGGAGGGGCCATGGGAGCAGATGGCCAACTTACCACAGGATTCAGGCGCACCACTGCTGTTACTACCCGAAGTGTCACCCGAAGTGTCACCCGAAGCATCCGAAGTACAAGTCCATTCTCCCTCCAGGTTCCTGCCGGGTGTCCCCCAAACCCAGCACTCAGCCTTCGAGAAAGCAGCACCGTCGAGAATTCCATCCAGCTTTCTCTCGGGCAGGCAGAAAACCCAATATTCAGGATTGGCGAAGGTAACACAGTCGAGGATAGCATTTTCGCTGGAGGAGATGTAAATCAAATCCACCACCACCATCACTACAACAACCATGTCCCAACCCCTCGGGTTACCCCTAAAGTTCCTAAACCCAAAGACCACCGTGAGTGTGACCAGCAAGCTCAGCTCTAGTTTGAATGTCTCGCTGACTTGGGGAACGGACTGTCACAAGAGGAATTGGTGTCCAAGATCAGCACTTGGTTTGACCTCAAGTCGAACTCCCGGGCTATTCACGGTGACGTTCGGAAGCTGAGGATAGCCTCGACTGGGGACTGGTTCATCGATAGCAAAGAGTACAAGGAATGGAAAGCTACAAAAGGCGGTGTTCTCTGTGGGATAGGAATCCGTATGTTGCCTTTTCTCGTTGTTCTCCCAGGCCAACGAACTGACCGCCCATCTTCTACAGCTGCGGCAGGGAAGACTGTCCTTATGTGAGTACAGAATCATGGCTCCAGCTTACATCGTCCTTAACCTACTCGTATGTAGGACCCGCGTCATAGACGACCTCCTCCCCCTCGAAAACGACAAGACCTGCGTTCTTTTCGTGTACAACCGCTACACCGAACCCCTCTCCCTATGCGACATCCTCAAAGGCTTCATCCTCCAAGTCCTCGAGCGCCACCCCGCCCTCGCCAAACACGTCGAGCCACTCTACAAACGCCACAAACAGGAGAAAACGCAGCCGTCGCCCGAGGAGCTCACCCAACTCCTTGTTCAATTCGGGAGGTTCTTCGAGCGCATGTTTTACGCCGTGGATGGTGTGGATGAAGTCGACAAGGAAACCCGCTATGATCTGATCCAGGTCCTCAATGAGTTGCAGGGGAATATCGTCCTGGCGTCTCGTCAATTGGAGGAACTGAATTATGATCTAAAGGGTGCGGTTTATCTGAGACTGGTTGCGCAAGAGAAAGATATTCGACTCCTCATCGAGGAAAGACTCAAACGGTATAAGGGGCTGGCACGTCTCTTATATCGACACAGCTACTACGAAATTGCACTCAACGAGATAATCTCCAAAGCAGAGGGAATGTGAGTATCGAATGCTCGTCCATAACGAGAAAGTTTTTGTAACATCCCACAGGTTCCTCCACGCCGCTCTACAAGTGGACGCTCTACAGAGCTGCCTTACCATCCCAAGCGTGAAACAGACGCTCGAGCAGCTTCCAAGAGGGATGGAAAGGATATACAGAACTACCCTTGTCCGCATCGAACACCAAGCGCCCGAGCTTGTCAAAGCAGCCAAGCACATTCTCGTTTGGCTTATCTGTGCACAAGGACCGCTCAGGATCAAGGACTTACAAGCGGCGTTGGCTGTCAATCCCAAGACGTTTAGCGTCGAGAGGGACTCGTATCCCGATACAGAATCCATCGTATCGATATGTTGCGGCCTGGTCGAGCACCATGCCCAAACTGGTGTAGTCCGCCTCGTTCGTGAGTCGCCATTGAACGACTTCTCTCCGTATCATTCCAACCTAATGACATCCCTTAGACTTCACAGCCAAAGAAGCTCTGACTCCTATCCTCCTCCATGATTGCCCACAGCCGCATGAATACATCAGCAAAGTCCTCATGCGCCGACTGCTTGATGAGGGGCTGCCCAATTCCTGGACTATCACCTGCGAGGACGAGTTCTCCTATGCCCTGACACGCCGCCCGCTCCTCGAGTACGCCTACAACTATTGGGTAGACCACATCAAGGCATGCGAATACCGCTCTGATATCTCTCGGTACACCCTCGATTTCCTTCTCCAGTGCACTTCCTTTCCCGTCGTCGACGTGGTGGTGATAGGATCCGACATACAGCCACTCGACCCACTCCAAGTAGCCGCTCGTTACAATTTCTCAGACGAGCTCTCTGTTCTTATTACTGATAGTGAGTTATATGCTCGACAACCACCTATCTATATCCATGGACATCCAGATCTCATATTGCAATCTACAGAGCGCGTCGTCGGGCACTACTACGGCGCACAACTTCGATCGGGCTACACAGCGCTAATGATTGCCGCCCGCTACGGATACCTAACCTGCGTCGACCACCTCCTCAAGGTCAAAGTTGAATTAACCAGACCGATCCCCGCATCCATCCAATCCAACCCCGATGAGCTAAACAATTTCAACCAATGGATCCAAGCCATGCCCGCCAACGTCCCAGATCCCCTCGGGCGGACAGCACTCATCTGGGCCTCGCGGAACCACCACGGCAGGATCGTCGAACGGCTCCTCCAGCTCCCGGGCATCGAGGTCGACGCCTCGGACTATGGCGGGCGGACCGCGCTCACCTGGGCAGTAGAGGGCGGCCAAGGGGCGATTGCCTGGCGCCTTCTCGAGGCCGGAGCCAACTTCAACGCTGTAGGCAAAGACGGTCGGGCACCCCTTGTCTGTGCATCGGAAAACGGGCGCGAGGATATCGTCGTTTTGCTCCTTGGAATCTCGGATCTCGATGTGAATGCGACGGATGGTGGGCGGACGGCGTTGATTTGGGCCCTGAGGCGGGGTCATCGCGAGATTGCTAGGTGCCTTGTTCGACATCCTGGGGTTGATCTGAAGGTGCGGGATGTGGATGGTTCGACGGCGCTTGGGATAGCTGTGCATATGGGTTTTGAGGATGTTGTGCGGGAGATGGTGGAACGTGGGGTGGATAACGATGCGACGTATGTAGGGGAGGAACCTCGTATTCGTATCTATCGGTGAAGGGACAGGACATGTGTGGGAGTCGTACCATTGTGATTATCTCCCAGGGACTCGGAGGATACTAAGGAGACTACGTATAAACCCCTGTCATTTGGCTATTTATGACTACAATTCCATTTAACTACGCCAGTCCCGAGTTCAGACCCCATTCATAGTTGAAGCAGAGGTAGGCGGGAAGGAAGAAGAAGAAGTCCAGTAGTCAACGGTACATGAAGGATATATGATTCCTGGTTTCTAGGAGAGCCCGACAGAAGAGTCTGTCAATAGGCGACATTCTGTACGGCACTCAGGGGTGGTGATGTTTGGCAATAGCGTGTAGTTAAAACACCAACAGAGAAGACGAGGCGAGTCCTATATACTCATTGTCAAACCGCGATGCCCAAGCCATCGACAATCTTAGAGGATGAGGCCCTACCCTCGTCTCCACCGCCATTGCCACATGCATTGTCTCCAATCCACAACTTTACCCCCAAAACCATTTCTTCCCTTAAAACATCGCCCACTGTCAGGGTTGGCGACATCTTGCACTGGGCACACCAAGTCATCTTCTCCAATTTACCGGCAATTTCTTCTGAACAGGACACCCCTACCGTCCCTTCTAGTGGAACACAGCCTCAAAACTTTACCCGTCGAAAATTTGTGTCCCCTGATCTTCACTTGACGCAAGAGATTCTTGATGCCACCATTACAGTCACCGCCAGCTCGTCGCTGTCTGACTGTCTTGGAGCCCTTCGTAGAAGTCAAGCCACATCCTACAACGAGGACCGTGTTACCGTAAAAGTGGTCGCACCTCTAGTATCCGTCCTTCTGGCGATATTCATGGCACTCGTTGACGAGGACAAGTATGATTGGGTCGCCGATGCCACTCATAAATGCACGAGTCTCGAGCCTCAGGTCGAATTCGACGTTGTCTTTACACGCCTGGGCTTCTCTCTCATGCCTGGGCTGTCATCACAGCTGAAGAACATGGTGACCGCCGTGGAGATGAAGACGCCGCGGTCCTGCAATGACCCCAACAACAAGTCGGTGGCCGACAATGGACCTTTGACGGACAAAAAAGCGCAGGAAATTCGTGATCAGGTGAGTCCGTCTCTGGGTGAACAGGGATAGTCAACTAAAGGCCACTCGCTGGCAGCTCGGGAAACAAGGAAAGCTTCTCAAATCGCTCCATCCTGACAAGTCCTTCATCATCCACGGCTTTTCCGTTGCTCCCGCGCACTTGGTTCCTCTCGCTTCCAACGGCACTCAATACCTTGCGATTGGGTCCGATGTCATGAATATCACCGACCACTGTGAGTGACAGGCCGTTCTCCTTCCTCGATCAAGCTGACATCGACACGAGTCCCTGTTGCTGTGGAGAAAGAGATGAATTGGCTCGACTACATCGACAAGCTGGCTGCTTTCACGCTGGCGATCGTCCATCGCCATGACGAAGACATTGCGGGCGTTGTGAACAGTCGCTTCCCGGACCAAAAGCGACAGATCGACGCGCTTTACGAGGTTGCGGGTGAGGCACTAGAGCTTACCCCTCTCGAGATCTTGTTAAACCTTCTGTCGACTGGCCTTTATTGGCTTCAGGTCATGCTCTCGCTCCCACTGCTCCTGCTGGCTCAGAGACTGCGCCTGTTTCGCCCGATCAGGTCCCTTGAGCAGAAGGATTGTACACCCGTTTCTCTCGACACAAGGTACGCGCTTCCGTTTCTTGCCCTGTTTCCAATGTGGCTCATACAGTTCCTTCTTTCGCTAGCTGGCTCTCATTTGGCTTGAAACTGCCTCCTGCTTTGAGTGTTCACGAGTCTAATGAGAACATGGTCTATGTATATTCTCGCTGGGGCATCGGGCTGGTCATAAAAATCTTCGGAAATCCAACGACATATGCCAATGAACTCCTCTGCTACCAGCGCTTGGAGAAGCTGCAAGGAGCGGGAATCCCCGTGCTGTACGCCACTGGCAGTGTGGGTACACGGCCCTGCCTCGTGCTGTCGTACGAAGGGCAAAGACTCCGCCAAGATCCTACCGAGGAAGACAGGTACGTGAATCCCCTGGCCTTCTTTTGGCGCCCACAGATGCTAATCGATGATCGATGTCCACTAGAGCCACTCTTGAACCGGTTATCTATTACATGCACCAACTGAAAATCCACCATCACGACCTTCACCCACGGAATGTCGTTCGAAATGGGGATGGAAAGCTTACTCTTATCGATTTTGGCTTTTCGGGACCATGCACGAGAGGTGACTGCCACGACGAGTGGCGATTGAATGATTGGTATTGAGTCTCCTTTGTTATGATTAGATAGAAGACTGGTGCAAATGGAATCTGGTGCCCATCCTTTTGGGAGATGTAAAGTTTGGAAACCATTGGTCTGAGGCCTTGTTGAGGTTTGCGAGAACGGTTTGCTTTTTTTTGTTGTTCGCCCGAGGGTATGTAGACTTTATGGCAATGGGGAAATGCTTTGGGCACTATGTAAGACGTCCTTTATCCGAATCATCCTCCCACTTCAAAAGACCTCTCCAGTTGTTTCTCCACTACCTCCTCGGTCGATCCCGTCTACGACGATGTCTGGTCGGATTCATTCAACCGCTGTCGTATGCATACAACTGTGACGCGTGTGTGTGAGCTAGTAGGCGACCCACTGAGGCATGGAGGGTCTCAATGATTGACCGTCCAAGGAGATATCAAACAGTCCGGAATTGAACAGCGATCGGGTTATTAGTCTGCTATTTAGGGTAAAAGAGTCTCTATATGCGCAACGGTAATCTCTAAAGCAAAAGCCTCCCAGCCCACCTCGGGAATGGGATGCACTCTCTGATATTCTCGACGCCTCCGACCCAGCTGACGAGGCGCTCGAAGCCCATGCCGAAGCCAGCGTGGGGTGCACCCCCGTATTTTCGGATATCTTCGTACCACTTGTACGCTCCTCCATCTGCTAGCCCTGCCTCGCGCATCTTGCGGGATAGGATTTCCGGGCGTTCCTCGCGGACGCTCCCGCCTACGAGTTCGCCTACGCCTGGGACGAGGAGGTCGAAGCATGCTACTGTCCCCCTCCCCTCGTCCCCCTCACCCTCCCGGAGCTCATTCTCCCTCATATAAAAGGGTTTAACGCCCACCGGGTAATCAGTAACGAATACCGGCCTCCCCCCACCCACCAACTCATCCACCAACCACCTCTCATGCTCGCTTTGCAGCGGTCGTCCCCATTTTGGCTCGAACTCCCATTTGGCCTTGGTGCTCCTGGGCGCGGTCTCGAGATGGGTTATTGCCTCGGTGTAGGACATCCTTGGCCACCACTCGTTCGTTCCGAATGCGCTTTGGAGGTTTGATAACTTCTTGTCGTGCAAGGCTGCGTTCTGACCTGACGAGGAGGCGGAGGATTTCCAGAGGGTTTGGATATCGGGGTTTAGGTTCGCGGGGTTGACGAGTGGACCGACTGTACCCCTCAGCATTGCCTCCACGACGTCGCATACTTCGTGCACCCCTCCTCCGTTCTGATGTTGCTGTTGGATAAAAGCCCACTCGGCCTCCAGCATCCAAAACTCGGCCAAATGCCTCCCCGTCAAACTTGGCTCAGCACGGAAACAAGGCGAAAGCGTGTATACCCTCGACAACCCCGTCGCAATCGCCTCAAGGTGCAGCTGGTGCGAGACGGTTAGGTGGGCTGGACGACCGAAGAATTCTTCTAGTTGTTGGTTTTGGTTGGAGTTTGGGTGAGAGGGGGACGGGGACGGGCATGTGGATGGAGATGTGGATGGAGATGTGGATGGGGTGGATGAGGTGGGTGTGGAAGGGGAAGGGGAGGCGGCTGGATGCCCTGAAGGCAGAGGTGCGATTCTGAAGGATTCTCCGGCTCCTTCTGCGTCGTTGGCGGTGAGGATGGGTGTGTTTACCGCGTAGAATCCTTGGTTCTGTAATCAATGGTGGTTAGTACATGTCCTTGAAGCCTAGGAGGGTAGAAAAGGAGAGTTGGATGATAGAGCTCACCTCAAACCATTCACCCAACCTGCGACTCAACCCGCTTCGTAACCTGAGCATGGCAGCATTCTGACTCGTCCTCGCTCGTAAATGGACGTTGTCGCGCAGGTATTCGTTTGAGAGGAGTTTCTTTTGTATGGGGTAGGTCTGGTAGCGTAATTAGATAGTTAGTGGTGTTCGAAATCTGCAAGTGCAAAACGAAGTTTTAGACGCTCACCTCGGGATCACACTCGCCCAAAACCTCCACCGCCCCCTCCTTCCCGCGTTCCACCAAAAGCTCGTGACTCTGTCCCTTCCCCGGACTCTCGACCAACCGCCCTCTCAACCTCACAGCTGCTCCATTCGTCAAACTACCAATCCAATTCAGACTCAATCTCATGCTAATCCTAGTGGTATACACTCACCTCCTCAAAACATCCCCGTCCTCTTCTCCCTCTCCTCTAACCAATACAGCTTGCAGACCCTTGTCAGAACTTCCATCCGTCAGAACCGCAAATGCCACATTCTTTTGTTTCCGGATACTCTTTATCCACCCTGATACTTCTATTTCACCGTTCAGGTGGTTTGAAGGGTTGGTTACGAGTTGAGTGAGTGTTGGTGGGAGGCGGAATGCGTTAGGACTGGGTTTGTGTTGTTGGGCGTAGGTTCGGGTTAAAGAGGAGAGTGTGGGAGGAACTTTTTTGAGAGGTTGGGATGTGCGGTGGGGGTGAGCGCGGAGGAGGTACCGGGAGAACATGGTACGCGGAGGGAGAGGGAGAGACGCGAAGATGACGCGCTGGCGGAGATTGATCAAAGAAATTTCTCGGCGGCGTCTATGGACCCTTGCGCGTTGTTCGTCCTCGAGAGAGTTACAGAAAAAGAAACAGAGAATGTAGTTATTTCGATGATATCTAACATGAACAAGAGAAACGTATACATCGATAATACCAGCTCCAGACTTTCGACGTCTAAATGCCCCTTCCACGGCCCCGACCCCTGCCCCGACCCCGTCCACGATCTCCACCACGTCCCCTACCACGTCCTCTGACATCGTCCTTCTTCCTATGCTTCGGTTTGGGCGCGTCATCCACCAACAGCGTGTCCAAAGGAAGAGCATCGGGGAGGATAAAGTACCTGATGTTGTTGCCTCGGATGGAGAGCGTGTCGAGAGATGTGGGCTCGCGGTTCCTCATCGTCATCTTGACGGTTTTGAGGAAGGTGTTCATTTGCATGTCGACGCCTGTATAATGAGGGTGGTGAGTAAGTAAGCAAGATGTGCTGGGAACGAAAAATGGAGAATCGAAATGTGTCTGGTTGCACTGTGTCAGGTAAGCCGTGGATAAGGGCTGCGAGGTGGAAGCAAGACTGGATAGGATAGGCGACCCGAATTCGAAATCGAGATAGTATCAGGGTAGGAAACTTACCGGTGATGGTCCCGTGCACGACAGCCCCGTTCTTCAACTCGATCGTCACCGTCTCATTGTTCAATTTCATCAAGAACCTACAATGGAGAAACACAAATCGTCAGTACATTCCTTCAACACTTTATCGAAACCACAGCCATCCAGAAACGCCCGAATCGTCCAAAAGATTCTGAATCGACCAACCAACTACCCACGCATTCATGACGCCGTCTCTCATCGCCATTCCATTCCTCCACGCGCCCCTAGAACAATGCACAAAAACTCACCTAACGAGCTTCATCTTGTCCTATTATCTCAAAAAAGTCTCAACAAAGAGAGCAGACACTTCAAATAGCAGATCTCCGAAAAGATCAATGGTATCCCAAGCGATATAGGTTTGTGTGTTTCAACTTTTTAGCCGAAGCGAAGCGAGTCGAAACGACTGGTACGATTCCGAGGGTTTCGAAAAATTGAGGTTGATGCGAGCTGCGAAAGGAGCTTTGGGATGGTGTTTAGTGGAGAAGCAACACACGAAGCGCTGCTTGGGGTTCGGCGTTGGAAACAGTCGCGCAGGTTGTTTCGAACGCGCGTGCTGGTGGATTGGAGCGGAGATTGAATGTTTTGCGAGGGAGAGGACGGGGCTTACGGCTCCGACTCAAAGAGTGACCCCGCCTGGCCTGGAGGTGGGGGTCGATCGTCGTCTTCGGTGAGTAGGCACATTAATTCACAACGAGGTGATCCTCAGTCCTCAGACACTCGATAACTCGCAAAGAAACTTGCGGTAATTTAAACATAAGCCTGGCCCTGGCTGTTTTGATGGCAGTCACGCGGACACCCGATCACGTGCCTGACGCGCCGGAATCAACAACGGACATGGTCGTGTTCGCAACGGAGCCAGTGGCCCAATCCCAATTCCCTCCTCGTCGTTCCCTTCCCGCCCGCCACCTCCACCTCCTCGTACCCTTCCCCAACTCGAAGACGCATTCAACCCTTAGCGGGACAACTTGGTGTCCATTCCAATGGCTGCCACACACAAAGTCAAAATCGCAGCCCGGTTGAGGCCCCGTCTCGAAGGCGAAATCGTCGACGACCAGCTTAAAGTGATACACCCTGGCGACGACTCGAATGGGTCGTCTTCGAATTCTAGTTCTTCGTCGTTTTCAGCCACCAGTTATATCGCTGTTACGAATCCCAGGGATACCTCTCAGATCTTCAAGTTCCCGTACGTTGGGTTGGGTGGTTGTGTGATGGGATAATGTGGTGGCTAATGAATGGGTTTAATTGTCAGGTTCTCGAGCTGTTATGATGAAAATTCGACACAGGAAGAGATATTTAGGAACGACGTTGAGCCTCTCATCGATGTTGTTTACAGCGGCGTCGTACGTTCCTTCCCCCTAACTCATCCAAGTCGCACTCACTGAGTCGTTCAACTTGAATTATGCATTTAGACGGTGACGATCTTCGCGTATGGTGTAACCTCGTCCGGCAAAACCCACACAATGCAAGGCACAAAGTCTCAACCAGGCGTCATTCCCCGCGTCGTCAGAGCCATGTTTGAGCGTAAAGACACGTTCCCGCAGTATCGCACTTCGCTTTCGGTGTCGTATATGGAGATTTATAAGGATGAAGTCTATGACTTGCTGGTTACCCGCGAGAACGTGAGTTTCTTTTCTCCGCTTATACTTCTGGGACGGACGTAGCTAAAACCCAACCCCGGTCACTAGGCCCCTAAACTCCCAGTCAGAGAGAACGACGCAGGAATGGTCTTCGTCGCCAACCTCTCCAGCGTGCCAATCGAATCCGCAGAAGAATTCGAACAGATTTACAAGTGCGTCTTCTTCCACCCCTTCCTTTATTCAGGGCACCCGAACTCACACTTCCCTCGCTCCATCTTCCCTACTCCAATCTACAGCCAAGCAACGCGCAACCGCTCAGTCGGCTCGACAAACCTCAACAGAGCATCCTCCCGCTCACACGCAGTGCTAACTGTGGAAGCCACCATGATCCACGACGACTCCAACACCAGTGCGCGTCATGTCTTCTTTCGTTGTATCTTGGACTAACAAACCGTCCGTTGCGTAGCTCTGACTGGTAAAATTAACCTCGTCGATCTTGCCGGGTCGGAGAACAACAAGGTTAGCCTTAGTCCCTGTATTCCTGAGAGCAAGAACCCTTCTAACGAGAATCGTGGTGGATACAGCAAACTGGAAACGACGCAACGCGTATGGCGGAATCGGCCGCTATCAACAAGTCGCTAAGCGTACTCGGCCAAGTCGTGCATGCTTTGAATCAAGGAGCTGTAAGTATTATTGGACGCATTGTTGTCTTGTTTTCAGTTCTGACAATCGTAAATGGTGACGTGTTTAGCCCCGAATTCCCTACCGCAATTCACGCCTCACTCGAATCCTACAAGATGCACTTGGAGGCAATTCTGTCGCATTGCTTATTTGCAACCTTGCCCCTGGTGTCAAGTTTAGGCAGGATACGCTTAATACTCTCAAGTGCGTCTTCTGTTCACTTGTCGCGGTACACTGAGCTGATAGCCCTATTCATAGTTTCGCAGTGCGGACAAAGAACATCGAGAACAAACCAGTCGTCAACGAACGCGACAACCGACCCGCTCCCAAACCGCACTTCTCTGCACCAACCACGACACAGACCTCGTCCAAAGCCGCTTCTTCCAGCCTCCTCCAGGCCATCGCCGGGCCGAGTACCGGTGGTGTCGTCCAGGCTTCCAACCCGACTGCTGGGGCGATGCGAGGCCGGATGTCGTTGGCACCTAATCATGGATCGTCGAGGGTGCCCAGAGCGAGTTTGGGTGGAGTAGGGAACCATTATCAGAGTTTTGCGTTACCTGCGAATGGAGGTGCTGGTGGGAGGAGGTTGACTTCTATCCATGAGAGGCAGGCGCCGCCTGCGCAGGCACCGGCACCTGGTTTGACTGCTGAGGAGATTGAAGCCAAGGTGTGTGTTTTTTGTTTCTTATACCCGTCGAGTTTAGGTAATGCTAACGGAAATCGGCTTCGCCATTTTTAGATTTCCAAAGCTGTCTCGGCGGCTGTTGAAGCAGAAGTTGCGCGTCGACTTGCTGAGAAGGAGAAGGAATGGCAGGAGGAGCAGAAGAGGCTTGAAACTGTCATCCAGGAGAAATCTGAAGAGGCGGCTGCGGCTGCTGCTGCCGCCGCTGCTGAGATGAATCGCATGAACGAGATGAATAGGCGACAGTCGGAGGAGCACCGTCGGTATTCGCGGTCGAGGTCTAGGACGCCGGAGAGGAAGGATGGGAGGGATGTTACGCTTCCTAGTGGTGTCCTCACGCCTTTACTCAAGAAGCATCGGGATTTGGATCAGGAGTTGAAGGAGAGGTTGTTGGAGTTGGAGAGAAAGTTGTATGTATCGCGGTATCCTTCTTGACTCTTGCCTGTGTCATTCCTGCCCTCATCCTCGTCTTCACCCTCGGATCACATTCACGTGCCTGTACCCGAACTCCATTACGCTCTCACGGTCAACTTCGCATTGCTGACTACATTTGTTGTATAGCGAGAAGGGCAACAAGGAGACTCAGCTCGCTGATGTCCTCTCCCCCGTCTCCAAGAAGAAGACGGGCCGTGCTTACGTCGCACTGGCTAGAGCTCATTCCGAGAAGTACGTTGTCTCCTGCTCTTCACCTTTCCCATGGATAAGCTGACACATCTTTGTTCTTTTTCGACAGGGGCGACCTCGAAGTAGCACTCGATCTATATCGCAAAGCCGAAACCTACGTCCCAGACAATATCAAACTCAAAGAAAGGTGGATACTCTTCCTTGTCCAAGTCTTTCTACTTAAAATATCCCATACACATCCTTCTTCTCGTTCTTCTCGTTCGCGCTCCAATTCCACTCGTTCTAATCATTCTTCTTCTAATTTTCATCATCCGTATTCTAATCCTCGTTCTCAACCTTATTCTCATTCCCATAATCACCCTCATTCGCATCCGCGTACCCGACCACGCTCCCGTTCCAATTCCCAAAACCACCCTCATGGTCGTCCGCGATCGCATTCGCATTCTCATCATACCCCTGGTTCACCGCTTCACCTTAATGCGCGTGGGCCGCAATCTCCTTTGCAATCCCAATCCGTTCGTTCCTTCAAAAAACCTTGAACTCTCTTTTTCCTTTCGTTTTTAATTTTCCGTCTTTTTGGGTTTTCTTTGCGTCTTTTTTGATTCCTTTGGAACGTTTATAACTGACGTTTACCTTTTTCCTTCTTTTTCATGCGTGGGCTTTACCTCGTTGTCGCCGCTCGCGATGCTTTTGCTCCCGTTGTCGGTGTACATGTCGATGCTGTTGTCGTTGTCGTTTTATCATGGGTTGGGCGCTTTCTTCGTGTGTTGATGGTCTTGGTTTGGATGGATGGATGGATGGATTCACTATTCCTTTCGTTCGTTCGTTCCGGCCGTGTCGATTTCGCGACGGATGTTTGACCTCGACTTGAAACGCAACGCGTCCCACTTCGACATGGAATGCGACTCCGGACATCGTCGATGCCACCCCCGACCTCATCCATACGACCGACGAACGCCTCGCATCACAGGATCATCGAAATTGAATGGGCAGTCAAGAATGGCAAGCCATATATCCCGTCTCCCAAGCCTCCGCGCAAGCAGAAATCCAAAAAGTCCTCTTCGTCAAGATTGCGCAAAGAACACCGAGTGGAAAGTGAGAACGAGAACACTGCGCCCGTTGAAGATGGCGGTTTGACCGCTGATTCTGTAACGTCAAGCCGGGAATCCAGTTCCTCGGGATTCGATGGTAGTGCGACGATGAAGGCGCCGCTGCTCCTTGCGACCCTCCCCCCAGCCGAGTTTGGTACGGAGCTGACGAATACGAAGAGGCCGTATATGGAGGATGTGAAGACGCCTGTTAAGAGGCAGAGGAGGGGTGATGTTGGGTATGAGATTGAGACGATTGAAGAGGAGAGGGAGGTGGAGGTTTCGTTGGAGGTTGAGGCGTGAGGATGGTGGGGAGGAGAGGGGGGGGGCGCCGGTCATGGGGGGAGGTAGATTGAAGTGTGAAGGAGAAGTGGTTGATATAGATACCCCCCACCCCCCTGTTGATGAAGCTCGTTTGGTGAATTACGTGTTGTATGTATGTTCTCTCCTTTGTTGTTTCTTCCACCGGCTTGGAGACTGACCTGTCTGCAAAATACAGTTGTCCCGTGTTAGGGCTCTTCTATGTTATTTGAATCGCTGTCTTGATATTTTATCCTGTTCCAGAAGTCCTATTCTACCGCTCGTTATTCTGCAAGGTTTTCTTTTTTTGATGTAATGTTCTTGGTGGTATATGATTTCATCTTGTTCGATTTTTTGTCATCGAGGCTTGCTCTGTCCGGAATGTGTTAGTTTTGTTTCTTGGATGGGTATGTGAAGTTTTGGTCAGACGTCTCTGTTTCCACTTACGACGCGTAAGTAATGCACTTGTACCCTGTTCAAGACGTCTACGGTGGGACCTTTGGGTCGGACCATGGTGCTAGGGAGTGTGTTGTCCCTCCCCTTGTCATAGCCTTTGGAACGCGGCGTGAGGGCTTTTACTTTATGGTGGCATATATAATGCTGTTTGGACACTGTTACTCTCGCTCAGCTATGCGTAGATTGTGAGTGAAGGAGTGTGAGTACGATGGGGGCAAAGGGATAGGGGCTGAATTGACGCATATGGAGTGCCGATCAAAATCGGAATTAGGTTAGGGTTCCGCTTTTCGAGTCAGGCCCTTAGATAACGAATCTTGTGTTTCTCTCGAACAATAACGCCCAGTTCGTTCGACGACACGGTTATCGTGGATTTTTCGACACATCGACGACGACGGGATCATTAGTTTGAAGTATCTCGACGAACGCCGATTGACGACGACGACAACTTTAAAAGAAACGAGGAAAGGCATTTGACTGAAGAAGAGAGGAGACAACCAAGATGCGGTATTATGAGCAGAAGTATCCCGAGGTGGACGAGTTGGTGATGGTCCAGGTTCGACAGATTGCGGAGATGGGTGCCTATGTCAAGTTGGTGCGTGTATCAGTACTGATTCGTTGGCAGGAAGGTTGTGCTGATTGAGTCTTTTTTGTCGGTTGGTTTTTGTGATTGGGTTGGCTTGAATCGCATCGTACGCGTATTGGGACGGGTAGTTGGAGTATGACAATACGGAGGGCATGATTTTGCTCTCTGAGCTCTCGCGTAGGCGTATCCGATCCGTCCAGAAACTCATCCGAGTGGGAAGGAACGAGGTTGTGGTTGTTCTGAGGGTTGATAAAGAAAAGGGTACGTCTTGTGTATTTTGTGTACGTTGGGGATTTGGAGCTAACCGCGCTACTCTCTAGGCTACATCGATCTGTCCAAACGTCGTGTCTCGCCGGAGGATATCGTCAAATGCGAAGAGAGGTACATGAAGTCCCGAGCGGTAGCCTCGATCCTCCGACATGTCGCTTCCAAAACCCCATCGTTTGCACCAGATGGAACGATCATTCCCGCTTCGACCGAGCAGCAGGAGAGGGATCGCGAAGCTAAAAGGGCGGCTAGGAAAGCGCGTCAGGCTGCCAAGGCCGATTTGCCTATTGATGAAGAGACGGCTGTGAAGGCTGCTGCTGCTGAGATGACGGAGATTCAGATCCCGGGTACGAGCCAGAATGAGGAGGAGAAGTTGGAGCATCTTTATGAGACTATTGCCTGGCCTCTTGGGAAGATTTATGGTCACCCGTATGATGCTTTCAAGTTGGCTTTGACGTGCGTTATTGCTTGTGTTTGATGATTGACGAAGAGGATGCTGATGATGTTGTAGGGAACCCGATGTTGTGTTTTCGTCCCTCCCCAACCCCGTCCCCGAGGAAACCCTCTCTCTCCTCCGCGCCACCATCGCCAAACGACTCACGCCCCAACCGATCAAGTTGCGAGCCGATATCGAGCTGACGTGCTACACCCCTGCTGGCATTGGCGCCATCAAGAAGGCACTCAGGGCGGGTGAAAAGCAGTCCACGGAGGCTGTCCCGATTAAAGCCAAGCTGGTCGCGCCACCGCTTTACGTCCTTAGCACGAACGCGACGGATAAGTATGCTGCTGTGGATAGGCTTGAGAAGAGTATCGAGGCTATTCAGAATTCGATTGAGAAGGAGGGTGGCAGTTTGGTTTTGAAGATGAAGGTGCGTTTGTTTTGTCGTTCCCTACGCTTTTGTGGGATGGACGCTGATTGGTGGTGGTTGTTGTGTAGCCGAAAGCTGTTTCCGAGACGGAAGAACAGGATCTCGCCAATCTCATGCTCAAGGCTGGACAAGAAAACGCTGAAGTTTCCGGAGATGAGGATGATGAGGACTAGAATACATACATACCTTTTGTTTCCGAGAATTGATGTACACCTTTTTTCTCTCATTTTCAAAATTGCAATTAGTACGAATTACAGATGCGTTTTGATGATTGAATGAGTTGTTTATTTCGTTTTGCCTTCACGAAAATGGTACAGACTAGGCGGAGAACGACTATCTTCTCCAAAAGCATCGAGGCTGGTTTACGAGACTAGCGGTGATCATCATTCCCACCGCTGAGATTGTCTGAGATCCTACATGAAAGCCTCGTCTCGTAGGCTTGATGACGGTGGGCCAACAAGAAAATCAAAAATCTTAACTGGCCGTTGAACCGGCCGGTAGGATGTCCGAGAAGGGCATAATGGATACAACTTTCGCATTCCGCAACCACAGCCACCGATCCCAGGCCCCTATTTCGCAGACGGAGCACCTGGACAACACAAAATCGGTCAATGAACCAGTGTATATAAGAGAGTGGAATCTAGTACAACCATACGCACTGCTCTATGAACACCCTCATGACTCATGAGCAGTATATACAGTCATTGATCAGCTCACGTGACACGATCACCAAACGAGACACAAGGACGAAGAATTAAGCGCCGAACGCTTGTTTCCCTTTTGTTCGACGTAGAATTGGGCCTGATTTATTGTATTGACTATAGGATAGTAATGGACAAAGAAATAGACAAAAAGATTATGTATATCCTGTTGAATTCACCTTGCATGTCCGAAAAACTTGATCAATCCTTGATCAATGTTTCAAGCTCAAAAATGTATCGATGCACGGAGGAACGGGTAAGCCTTCAACGCACTACTTTTGACGTTCAAAACATAGCGTGAACCATCCAAATTAGTTCCAGCCTTTTTGACGAACAGCCGCGCTCTAATTCCGCGAGTGGGAATGGAACTTATTGCTGGGACTTTCTCGGAAAAATGGCCCGCCGTTGATGGGGCGAAAGAATTCATCAGTTATCACACATCTGGTGGACGATTTAAATCTGATTTCGTGCTCTACCTTCACCTACAGCTATCAGCAATGGTCAACGCAGCAAAAAGCCAGCAGCAAAAAGCACGCGAACTCGCAAAAGCCAAAGAGGAGTTGATGAAGCAGGCTGTCCAGGCCTATGATGCTGAACAGTCCAAACCTCCTGGGGTCCCCCGACTTAGCACTCGGAAAATCTGTCGTAATTTCGAACGTATCCACCTCGAGATGACCGGCAAGCACATCCAACTCAACCACAACACCTTGCTGGAGCGGTGGAAGGGCCGGAAAAGTCGTTTAGAGGCAGCGCAAGATCAGGAGTGGTTGCTTCCGGAGGAAACAAAGCTTATCCTCGAGTATCTGATCAAAGCTGCTAGCCAGGGGTTTCCACTCAGTCACCGACGTCTCAAGGAGGAGGTTGATAGAATTTTACGAGCACGCCTTGGAGATGCATTTCCGGAGGAGGGTGTTGGGCAGAGGTGGACTGATCGGTTTGTGAAGAAACATGCAGATCTTTTGCGGACGGTTTGGTCAACACCACAAGAAACAAAACGCCTGAAGGCCGCCAATCCGACCACCAATGATGCCTGGTGGAAGCTCCTTGGTGAAACGCTCAAGGAATTCGATATTCAGCCTCACAACACCTATGCCGTCGACGAAGTCGGATGTCAGCCCTACGGATCAGAGCGCGAGCGGGTGATTGGAACTCACCATCCTGGACCTCAATACCAACAGCGTACCGGCAATCGGGAGAATATAACGGTTCTTGTTCCTATCTGCGCAGATGGTTCATCTCTGCCTCCAGCGGTTATCTTCAAAGGAAAGGGCTACCAGGTCAGATGGAATCAAAATAATCCCGTAAATGCTTCGTGCGTCGTTCTACCGAGTCAGAAGGGGAGACACTGATAGATTTCTATTTTCTAAACAGAATCGGCTACTCAAAGAAGGGATGGACTGATAACGAGATTGGTGTGGACTGGCTGCGGCTATTTGAGGAGCAGACAGCAGAGAAAGCAGACGGGGATTGGAGATTACTGCTCGTTGATGGGCATACATCACATTACAGCCTCGAGTTCCTCACTGCCGCTCGTGAAAGCAAGATTCACATCTTATGCTATCCCTCCCACACCACCCACATCTACCAGGGTCTCGACGTCGTCATCTTCGCAGTACTCAAACGAAGGCTGGGTGCTGAGCGCGATGATTTTGTCCGGCAAACAGGCCAGGAGATCACGAAGGAGAACTTCCTAGAGATCTACGGCCGGGCACATCTCGCAGCACTCACAACCGACAACGTACTCGAAGCATTCTGGAAGACAGGTGTCTTCCCGTTCAACCCATCTGTGGTGTCAGAACAAATGCTTGCACCAAGCCAGCCGTCATCGATCAACTCGAACCTTCCAGCACCACCTCCGACACCAATGAAGTTGATTGCCAAGATGCTACACAACCTATCTATCGAAGACGACACACCCCTCGGTACAATCGACGAGGACGATGATGACAGCACCCCACCATCACCATCCGAAGCCCAAGCTGCACGACGAAAAGCAATTGTCAACGAGGCCGCAAAGGAACTGGCAAGGACAAACATGGGTTATCTTCTCGGAAATGCACCAGCGACAGCAGACTCACCTCGGGTCACCCTTCCCACTGCACCCATCCCACAGCCTACCACCTCTGTCACCAACACCTTACACATCATCCCAAAAACTGAATCCGAGACCATCCTCCTTGAAGCTCTGCGAGAGTCGGAGGCCATGAGCCGAACGTTGCGGGACCGGGTAGCGGTACTCCAGGCCTCCCAGATTCTGAACGACGCATACTGCAACAAGATTCGCATTCAATTAGCGCACAAGGAGGAGAAGAAAAGTAAACGTACGACAGGAAAGCTCATGGGTGACGGCCTTCCACGGATGTTATCAGGTGACCGGTTCTACGAGCAGGTGGTGAAATTCACGGAGTGGCAGAAGGCGCAAGAGGCGGAGGCAGCAATGAAGGTTGATGCGAGAGCTGCATGGAAGGCGGCGGTGGAGGAATGGGAAGCAAAAGGAAAAGAGACTGATCTTGCAAAGGACCAGTTGAAGCAGGAGGTTGCTATGTGGACGACGAAGAAAGCTGCTGCAAAAGCAAAAGGAACCCGATTCAACGTCAAAAAACCGACACGCGAAATCCCAAAAAAAGCGCCCAAACCCACCTTGAAGTCCTTCATTGCTCTAGCAAAGGTTCAGTCGAAGCCAAAGGAGGTGTCGGATGAGGGAGAAGAGTTCAGTGATGCGGAAGAGAGCAGTGCGAGCGAGAGCGACGACGAGAATGAGGATTGATGATGTCGTCACTGGTAGCTTCGGGCCCTTCCGAATAACTGTCTCGTTCTGTGATGGCCGCCTAATCGGGCCTCGGCAACGACATGCACGATATTTTGCTTCGTTTCTGCTCAACAACACACTGTAGTACCTATCTTTGTAGTTGAAAACCATATTTATACCCTTCTTGTAGCTCCAGAACAAAAAAATCCTCCCATTTCGAAGTGGTTTCTTCAAGAACCCACGAGACCAAATTTGTGACGTAATTTTGTCTCGTAAGCTGATCAATGACTGTACTGTAGGTCTTGCGGTCGCTGTGAGCTCGAAAAGACAGAGAGCCGTAGATTCAGAGATGTGTAGCTAGATGTATATCGTAGTCGAAGATGATGATGATGCGCCAGAGGGATCTGGAGAGTCGGTCGAGCGCAGGCGCGTGATGACTAAGCGCGTGCGACGAATCTACCTAAGTTCCGAGGCCTTTTGGTCTCGGGTTCTGTTGGGAGATGGATTTGGGACGCCAAGGTTTCAACCTTGATTTCAACATGTGACTTCGGCGTGATCTGATGCATGTGATGCGGTTGCATTTTCCGCGCGCGCGGAGATGTGAGAAGGCGATGACTTCTGGATCAAACAAGAACACACTGTAGGGCTGCAGGTCAAAAGGCCTCGGATTATTGCCATTCACTGGCCTGCAACCCACTAGTCCTATCTAAGTCTACGATACGTGCATCCTCTACATCCCCTCCCAACCTTTGAAGCTGTCTCCCACAGCTTCACCAAACCATAACCTAAACATTCAACATGAAAAGAATAATACATGCCCAAACCAATCCTTCGTTCCTTCCACCAGTCGAATCTTGTAGTCTTCCAGCGTCATTCTTCATCGGCCTTCCCTCCGTCGCCTTCCTCCGCTCCTTTCACCTCCGTAACCTCCACAAAACCTGTAGAACGTCGGTAGTAAGGAATAAGACGAAAAGCGGCGTACTTGAGTCTTGAAACAGCGCCGTCGATCTCTGCGAGGATGTAAGCGCCGCCAGCGCCCCGAGAAACCACAACCATAGGACCGTAGTACCTAGGTTTGCCCTTCCTACCAACTGTGGCGTCGTACTTCTTGTTGAGGACGAGTACGAGTTCGCCTGGCTTGAAGTCGAAGTTGATCATCGTATTGGCGAACTTCTTCTTGAAGCCTTCAATGGACGGCCCCCTGCTGGCAACAACTCGATCGTGTAAGAGTTGTAGTTACTTCGTCCCTTCTCTCCAGCTGTCTTGCGCGCATCGCAAGCAGTTCGATGTCGGAAACCTGCCATGAAAATCCGGAAGTGAGAATGTCGCGTACTCGATGTCGAAAGGTAGAAGAGGTTCTACGCCGTGAGCTGCGTAGAATGGCGAAAATCCAGTCCGTTTCCGCGTGGTGATTCTGTCCGCCCATAAGACATACGGAAAGTGTTCGGACCACCTCTTCATCCCTCCCTGGGTCGATGTGACCTTAATCAGGGTGTCGCGCACTGGCCTGTGTGTGACCTCGACTAGACCGTTCGCTTTGCTGTTGTAGCCACTGATCTTGATGTGGTTGATACTGTAGTGCCTCTTCAGTTCTTCGATCGCGGCGATGAACGGTTTGCCATTGTCTGTAACGATCTCTGTAATCGTCCCCCAGCGACACAAGATCTCTTCGAAGATGAACCAAGCCAATGACTTCGTGTTTTCCTTCCGTAACATCCGTGCT